ATCACTGATAGCTCCAGAGGAGGCACTGCTTTATCATTGGTATCTGATGCAGTAGCTTTATCTTCTGCCTCTGCTCCAAGCTCAAGGACTGATTTCCCTTCGGAAAATTGTATTCTTCTGTTGCTGTCTATCTCAAGCTTATCATGCTCATGAAAGTAAAGAGTTTTGTCTTTATCTTGAGTGGAGGCCTTTCCAGCATAAGCAGAAACATCACCAGAGTCAATCCTTCTTTCTTGAATTTGTTTATTACCCTCAGAATAATACCTGTAGACAAAGAAATGTAAACACATAAAACACACCATACTCTGTATATCTTACTTGTAATGTGATTTGTGTTTTGATTGTGAGTCAGTTTCAGTAGCTACAGTTGTCCCTTTGTAGTTGGCTTGAAAAGTACTGGCAATGCTCTTCTTTATATTGACAATCCACTCCTTTTCTTTCTTGGGATAAAACACACCCAATATCTTACCAGTTTTTGAACTCTGAGCAAAACAGAACCATTTGTCCAAGCCTTTAACTGGGGCCTCAGTACTAACACAGTGAGAAAGAATGTTGGTAATACATTAAACCATCATGTGCATAAAAAAGGTTTACAAAATTGACTCTTACTCGGAATCATATTTATTCCCTTTATTAGATATTCGGCCCACAGCATCTCTGACATTGATACAATGACGAATGGCTGGTTCCTTCTTAAAGATACCAACTATACAATAAATCAATGTATAACATGATAGCAACACTCATAACAAGAGTAGATAATTTGAAATGCAATAACTGTATTGACCTGATTCACAAAATATGTCTACATTTGCAGTAACATCAATTTCTTCTCCTCCCTTTATTTTTGCATCAACACTGTACTTATATGTGCAACTTGCATTAGCTTTCTAATATGCATAAAAAGCGTTACAAATTAATGTGTATCACAATATAGTTGCATAAATATTGGTTCTTACTTTACTGCAATCACTGGTTTTCTTGAAATCTTTCTTAGCAGCAGGAGCAGCGTCACTGGATGAAGAGAAGAGAAAAAGAGCAAAGACTACAAAAACTATCCCTCTCATTTTTCTTTTTGGCCCGGTATAGCCAAGAGTATATCTTGGTACAGCTACCCCCAAATGAGGAAGGATAGATTTACTTTCAAGTTATATAAGGACTGCTTGTGTTTGTATAACTGCATGTTTTCATAATGAGGAAGCAGAAAGCTTGAGAGAGAAGGGTGCAGGGAATAGAGTAGATTAATGCATAGTAATAATGTATGTTGTTATGTACTGAAAGATTGGAAAATATACCTCTAAAATAACAACATAAAATAATAATTAATGTTATTCTGCTATGAGCATAATCATCTTCATGTTAGTCTTCGTAGTGGCCACCCTTGCACACCCATACTTGTTCGGAAATCAACAGAAAAATGAGCTAGACCCAATGACTCTGGCCAAGTAAGGATCTGGCTATAGTGAGAATATTACATTGAATCACTATATAGCCAGATCTGTACCTGAATTGATTTAAAAGTAAGTTATAAGTAACCCTATTGTAACAGCAACAAATAGTACAGCAACAAATGGCATCACAATTATAAAATGAATTCTGATAGCATGTACAATGTATCTAGTGCTAATTCACTCTCACCTATTTTTTATGAACAGTGCAGATCATTAAGGATTAATTCTGACGCTGGAAATTGGGAAATATAACATATAAACAAATTGGGAAATATAACATATAAACTTTATGAAAGACAAAGTAAATAGTAAATATAGCTATAAAGCTAAGACAAACAAATTACCTTCAGTTTGTGCATTCAACTGAAAGAGGTATTGTTTTTAATATGCAATGCTTTCCATTCCAAAGGACCCACATAATCAATGAATTAATGAGAGCCCACGTGTACTCACGTGACAACCAATGTGACCACTCCCACTCTTAGTATGGCTGTCCCTCCAGCAATTCCTCCAAGCATACCTGATGCTGATGAGCTGATTGACGCCATATTGGCAGAGAAAGGCCCGGCAGTATATAAAGATGGATTGTCTGAAGACAACTGGGAAGAGGTGGGCCCTCAAAATTATAGTCATAACTTTAAATTCTTTTTAATACACTAGGAATTAGAACAGATCCCTCTCTTTATGACAAAGGCACCAGATCCAGACACTGTTGCTAAATCCCCTGGACTCTCTGCATTACAGGAAATCAAGTATCAGGAGGAAACGCCTGAAGGCTAGTAATTAAAAATAATAAAATATTATTTTATTGCATTAGTTTGCATGTGATATCAACTTCCATGATTAATTGTTATCTTGGCCTCATAAATTACAACAAACTAGTATTATCAATGCCAAAAAGATGATTGTTGTAGTGTTACGTATCCATGCACATAATTCATCACAGGTAGAGCAACAATGCTCAAAGAAGATGGCAATGAAATGTTTAAGAGGAAGAAGTACAAAGAAGCCATTGAGCTGTATACTGGAGCACTTGCTGAGAGATCCCAAGACACTCAATTAAATGCTATTCTTTATTGTAATAGAGCAGCAGCACACTACTACATTGGTGGGTAATGATATGAATCTCCTTGTAGAAAAGGAGAATTCTCTTTTAGTCATTTTTGATAAAGTACGTACCCTGTATACTGACTTTCACCTGATTTTTGACCAACTTTAAAAATTTGTAAAAAAATCAGTTTTGATTGGAATCAGCTCAAACTTGAGAAGTAACATAAGGACATGTATATGTATCAGGAAAAAAATATAAAAATTGAGATTTCTTGCATAGGCATTTTTGACGAAATTTGGTAGTGACCCTGTACTATAGTACAGGGACTTTTTCCCAATTTTTGAGCAACTTTAAAAATTCATTAAAAATCCAGTTTTGATTAGAATCAGCTCAAATTTGAGAAATAACATAAGGACATGTATATGTATCAGGAAAAAATATAAAAATAGAGAATTCACACCTAGTCATTTTTGACGAAATTTGGTCAGTGACCCTGTACTATAGTACAGGGACTTTTGCCCAATTTTGAGCCACTTGAAAAATTTGTAAAAAATTCAATTTTGATCAGAATTTGCTCAAACTTCATAAAAAATGTATAATGTATTTAAAATATTATAAAAATCCTTTTCTAGCTATTTCTGATATACATGTACATTTAATACTCTGTGTAGACATGTAACTATGCTACATGTACATGTATTTTGTAGGTAATTATAGATCTTCTATCACTGATGCCAGCCAGTGCAAGTCCATCAAACCAGATCACATTAAGGCTTACATTAAAGGTACATGTAGTATTTGTGATTTAATTTACTTGTTTCTAGGAGCCGAGAGTACATTTAAACTAGGAAGGTATCGCGAAACTCTTGAGTGGTGCGAGGATGGGATTAAGGTAAGGAGATGATGTGACATTATACTGAGGGAAATGGTCATTTAAAAAAATAGAACAATTGACCAACTAGATTAATTATTATTATTATTATTATTCTTGTATTCCCAATGATGTCAATATTGTCTCCAGTAGATAATAATGTAAAAGATTACCTTAAGCCTACTATTTTTAGCGTCTACTAAATTTAGCTATATTAGCGAGAGAGCTTTAAATCGCTAAATTAAATAGACGCCAAAATAATAATTATTCATTATAATGGTTATTATTTATAGTTAATCTGGTTTAAAACGCTAAAATTAGTAACGCTAAACATGACTTTTGCTGATTTCACTAAAATTAGTAGACGCAAATAATAGTAGGCTTAAGGTACATGTATATTTCCTTCAGCACTGTGAGTGCTAAATTATCATTATATTTATATTATTCTTTGCAGGTTGATCCTTCCTCTGAGAAACTATCTGACCTTAAGAAAAAAGCTACAATCGAAAAGGTATTTAATGTACATGTTCTTTTTAAATGTACATGTACATGTACATGTACATGTACATTCAGTACATTTCTGTATGCATAATGTACATCATAATGTTTTTGTTCTCAGTGTTTCATGTCAAAAAGTTCCCGACAACTTGATATACATATGAACCTGTACTTTATGCACTATTCTAGTTCTAACCTAACTTTATTTAAGTTACATGTATTGCTTATTTACTTTGAGAAATTGTGACCAAAGGTACCTTATGGCGGATAGGAAAATTGGTCTTTATAGCCTAAAAAATCCAACTTCCTGACCTCAATTTATCATAAAATTACTTCAGAGGATGCAAAAAGTTACTGTGTAACTTTTAGAAACAATAGATGTCTAACAGAGCACTCATAGGTTGATATTTTTCATTGTAATGTTGAATTGAAAAATCCGCCATAAGGTACCTTTTGTCAATTATGGTCACAATTGATTAATGTTTTAATCTATGCACAATAACGAATTTGTTTACTTGTACAGAAAAAGCATGAAAGAGATGGTCGTAAACAACAACAAGACGAGAAGAGGAAAAGGGAAAGTGACAGTAAACTGATTGAAGCAATAAAAGTGCATGCATGTACATGTACGTGCACATGTACATGTAATAAATTTGGCTTGATTTGACATTCTTTACATGCATCAAGAGCATACTTACATACACATGTACATGTACATGTGTATGTACATACACATGTACATACACATGTACATGTGTATGTACATGTACATGTACATCAATGGAGTTTATACACTTTACGTGCATTTGGTATAATTTAGAGCTCCTTGCTTAAACTTATTTAATATTTAAACTTGAGTTGACTTTTCTCACATTTGTTAAAATTTTAATCCTTTCCCCCATTGCAGTATACATTATCCACTGATTTTGGGCCCAACTATTTTTATTCAATTTTAATATTTAATAGAGCACGCTTTATGTTGCTTCTCATTATAGACAAGAGGCATAAGACTGGCCCCATCCTCCCATCAGTACAGACCCATTGAAGATGATGGTAGGCTATTAGAGTTACTAGTCCCTCAAGCTCCCACTGGCTCTGTGAGATTTGACGATGACAATACCTCACTCGTGTGGCCTGTGTTGTTCTTGTACCCCGAGTATGGGACTAGTGACTTAATTGAGTCGTTCCATGAGCAGAGCAGGTTAATAATCCATGTACTAAAGGTTCAGGATATTGATACATGACATGCATGTACCGTAACGTAGTTAGTATGCATTATGTGTACAACAACAAGGTTAATTTATTATGTGTACTTTACCATGCACACTTAGATTGCATGTGTACTTTTAATCATGTGAACTAAGTTATCATCTTATCACAGTTTAGTCTACTAGCTGGTACTATACCATCATATTTCTATGAAACATATATAAGCATTTATTGTAAAGTATTACTTAATTTCCTACAGTAGTGTATGCATATATTAACTACTGTACATGCTGCTATACAGTTCCTGTTCTGCTAGGCCTTCCTCTCACAATTTTATTTATTTTTTTTGCCTAATTATTATTGATGACTCTGGTCAAGTTTATAAAGTATTATATTTCTCTCTTTTGTTTGACTTGATTTTGTTAGTAATGGTGGTATGTGTTTGTTAGAGTAACAGTAATAGTATAATACATGTTTAGTTATAGTTATCAATGCAACAACAATAAACAACAGCAAAGACAGTAACTAGTACAATAAGCCAGTTAGTTTAACCTTGGCTTATAATCATAATCAATTACTTTAGACAAATAGACCCAATACCGTATTCACCTCTCCTTTTATATTCATTCCCATTACTAACAGATCCTCTAACGCATAAACTATATACAGCATACTAAAGATATCATCACTTGATATGGAGCAGCAGTAGTTGGGGTTTTCTACATGTACGTAATACAGTACCGCTCTGCTATAACTTGACTTATCAGCTATAACTTTACTTATCGTACATGACACTAGTCCAGGTTCTTTATACACTCAACACACACTAGTGCAAGGTACATGCGAGCACCTGTATCGTGTATTTGTCATGTACATCATGTATCTTATCACGTTCTGTGGTGCACCAGTCTATTGTAGTGTGTACATACATAGTGATTCTTCACCAGCGCCACCTGCACCTCGTGCTGAAGATCACACAAGTAAAAGTAAAGTAACTAAAGTTATAGCTGAGCGGTACTGTATATATCATAATAGTGGAAAAATTTTGTGACCCAAAATTTTCGTGGATTTTGTGTTTTTTTTTAAATTCACGCAAATAAAATCCTCAAAAATTGATTCAATGCAGTTCAAGATGGCTGAAAAGTAGAAAACCACGAAAATGAAAGCCACGAAATTTTGATTTTTGAATGGATTTGCGAAATTTTTGGACCACGAAAATTTCCCGCTATACAGCCAGATACAATGTATATAGCCCTGTATTGTATATTTTATTGCAACGCATATAAAATAGTTGTCAAATAAGCCATTTCACTATCAGTTCTTCACTGGCTTTAATTCTTACGAAAATATTTATGGGGAGATGTTACTGTAAGCTCTGGTATGCATCTCTATTTATTGTATGAACAATTCTAGCAGTAAACATGAGGAGAGTTTATTTATTTTACATGTGGACTCGTGTTAGAGCTGCTTTTTCTAAAAAATTTTCCTGCACAGTGTCTCCATGTATCTAATATCGATGTGTGTATTTGCACGTACTATGTATTGCCTTATAGTATCTAATTATTGTTTTTTTTTGATAATTTGTTTGTTTGAATAGATTCATTGATCACATTGATTTAATGTTTGGAGAAGGAGAAGAAGTAAACTGGGATAGCGAAAATAAGTACAAGCCTCATACAATTGAGGTCAGAATGTAGATACATTGTATGACCTTATCTTTTCCTTGTTTCCGTCTCTTAATTGTTTGTTGTCATTATAATAATGCTACTAAAAGCATTTGCGATGTACATGTACATACAGTATAAGTATATACAGTATAAGTATATACAGATGTTATCATAGCTATGTACAATATAGCCTCTCTTAATGGACACTCTCTATAGCGTACGCCTCCATTTAACGGACAGCACCTAGTGTATCAATTATATTCCTTACTGTATAAAATAACCTCCACATAAAGGACAATAAGGTTTCTTGTCCCAAAGCATCCATTATATGGAACATAGAATATGTATTCTCTTCTAAATCCTTCTCTTTTCTTCTTTGTTGTGTAATTCATTTGTAGGTATGGTATGAGGATTACAGTACAGGTCACTATGTTAATGTACCATTGGAGTCTTCACTATCAGACGTTATCAATCACTCCTCAAAGTGAGTGTCAGGAAGAGTGTGTTTGTGTGTCATTCCTTCCATTGAAGGTATGTAGTGATATGTGGCAGTCCGGCATTTTTCCTTATTGTAACTGGATCGTCATTTAGTAAAGCTTTTCTTTCTAAGAAGACATAGTGAAATGACTTATTATTTATTATATTTATAATGTTAAATGTTGATAACTGCTCCACCAGTTCTTAAATCAGTATTTACTCTTTTTTGTAATATTATGATGATAATGCTAAAAGTCGAAAATAAAAAAAAGAGACTAATATTTATGTTATTGTTAGTATCATAACGAGTTTTAATGTTTTTTTAACCTTAAGTTTTAGTTGGTTTTGCCTAAATTATTTCCTATAGGGTTTTAGCTTTAGTATAAATAATACAAAAAACAGCAATGATATGCGATTGTGGCTGGTGTATAATTGGCACAACATCCTGTTGTTGCTCAGTCTATTTGTAAACAAGGACACTAATAATAGCCTCAGTCTAGCTTTAATTTACCAACATTTTATTTGTGCTTGCCAATACAATGTCACAATTATGTCAGCAATGCCATTGAACCGTACGTTGTATTTCAAGCATCGTGTATTTCCTTGTTTACAATGGAAATTTAATTATTAATTATTATTATTGTATTTTCATATTCATAATCATTATAATGATGACATCATACTGGTAGCTTGTGTATTAAGGAGTATAGTGGACTATGTAATATATTTATGCAGGAGCAGATGAATATAATGCCAGTATACACAGGATATTAATACAGTCATTTTTATATATACATACATGGCTTCTAAGCAGCATTTCCTTCCTATTGGACTAGATATATATTATGCATAATAAACTGGATGTGTGCCATTACTTCACAAGAATGATTTGTCAACTGACTCTTCTCTTTCTCCTCACTTCTCTTCCTCCCAAAACTCTTGGAATACAGTATCAATACGAGAGTCAACCTGTTATCCTTAAATCTGATGGTGACACTAGGATAAGTGGTATACAGGACAGGATTGGGAAAGATATAGTCCTGGGAGGTCTTTTCACAGTCTACTACAGCTCTGGGGGAACAGGTGTTGGCAGCTGTGGTGATGAGATATGGGAAGATGGCATGGAGATGCTGGAGGCAATGCTGTTTGCTATTGATAGTGTCAACTCTGATCCAACTCTACTCCCTAACTTGACACTGGGCTATGACATAAGGGACACTTGTAAAAGGGAGAATGTGGCCATGGATGAGACTATAGATATTGTTTTATCCAGTGGGGATTTGGAGCTGGAGAGCTGTGCTGTTGTGAACACCAGCACATCAGAGCAAGTCCCAGTCTCAGTCATTATAGGAGCATTTGAGAGTTTCATCACAACACCAATGGCTGGCCTACTCCGTCTCTTCCAAAAATCCCAGATAAGCTATGGATCCTCATCAACTGCTTTGAGCAATCGTGAGCTGTATAGCTATTTCTTTCGTACATTCCCACCTGACGATAAACAAGCACAGGCCATGGTTGATCTCATTGTGCATTATGGCTGGGACCACATCTCTACCATAAATTCCAATAACTTGTACGGTCAGAGAGGAATTGAGGAAGTGAAGAAGCATGCTGCAGCCAGTAGTATCTGCATTGACTTTGATGCTATCATTACGGATGAATTCAAAATAGCAGATTATGCTAACCTAGCAAGTGAACTACTGAATTCATCAGCTAATGTAGTGGTGCTTTTTGCTTCAGTGCATCACGTACGTAGCCTCTTCACAGAGCTAGATAGGATACAGACTCTTAATAGCAATGAAAGACGCTTTGTATGGATTGCTAGTGACACGTGGGCTGAACTGACAGACAGGGAATTCAATAATGTTACTGCAGGAAAATTTGGTTTTGCAGCTTTCTCTGAGAACCTTGATTCATTTGATGTCTACTACTCTCAGCTGCTCCCTAGCACTAATAAACGCAATCCATGGTTTCCTCCCTACTATGAGCAGTATCACAAGTGTAAAATTGATGGAATACCAGTTTGTGACAACACCAGTGTTACTAATACTTCAGAGTATAAGCAGTTTTCAGTTGTGCCTCTAGTGATGGATGCAGTTTATGCAGCAGCTCACGCTATTGATAACTTCATACAGGATAACTGTGATCAACCAGTTCAATGGTACCCAGGCAATCAAAGCTGTCGTGGGTATAATCAGTCGTTAAACGGCGACGTTTTGTTCCGGTATATTAGTAAAGTTAACTTCACAAGTCCCAGTAATAATATGGTCAATTTTGACTCCCTGGGAAACATTGCAGTAGCAAAGTACAGTATATTCAATTACCAGTTGATTAAGTGTACTTCTAATGACTGCCCTCCGCTTAGCTTAGTAAACATTGGGACTTGGGACAGTAGTGTCTCAAATAATCGTCTACAACTCTACCCTAATGTTAGGAGTCAGTTTGGAATAACTTCATCAGGTGAGGGAGAGTATATGCCTGTGCTAACATTGAAATCACAGTGTCAGGTTTGTAGCCCGGGCCACATTAAACGCATAGTTGTATCCTCATGCTGTGGTACATGTGATCCATGTCTTGGGCAAAACTATACCAACGCTTCGTTAACTAATACATCATGTCAAACATGTCCTAGTGACATGTGGGGCAATAATCCGTTAACTGGTAGCACTGGCTGTGTTGATATTTCTCACTCATATCTTAAACCAACCGATGCATGGGGCATAGTACTGATTGTGCTGTCTGCAGTTGGATTAATAGCAGTTGTATTTGTTACATGTGCTTTTATTTGGTTCTGGAATACTCCTATAGTCAAGTCTTCAGGAAGAGAACAAATGATACTTCTACTCATTGGCTTGACCCTCTGCTTTCTTGTAACAATCGTTTTTCTCTTAAAGCCTTCGCCAGTTTCTTGTGGATTCCAACGCGTTGGTCTCTGGTTTTGCTTCTCCCTTGTACTCTCCGCATTACTAGTAAAGTTAATACGAATATCACGCATATTTTTACACAAGAGCATCTCAAATCGTCCCAAATACACTGGATCAATCCATCAGATTCTGTTCACATTCCTGTTGGTCGGTGTACAAATGAGCTTTGTTTTAGTTTCAATGATAGTTGTCCATCCAGACACTATAACCTCAACCAAGCTTGACGAGAACAATCACAACGATTATCCAACACTCATCCTAAAGTGTACCTCCCCACACATTGCATTGATCATATTACAGATGCTGTATTTCAGTGCTTTACTTATTGCTAGCAATGCACTAGCAGTCCTTACCATTAGATTCCCTGCTAACTTTAACGAGTCAAAGTATGTCTCCTTCTCTACATTTTCACTGGGTCTGATGTGGTTCCTTTTCATACTCTCCTATATTGCTACTAATGATTCTACCATTCAAACAGCAGTGATCTCCTCTACGATACAATTGAGTGCATTGGCTGTATTGTTCTGCTTGTTTGGTCCTAGAGTGGTTATCATGATATTCTGGCCTCAGCAAAATGTCCTGGAGACTGCAATGCCAACACAACCAACTTTGCTGAACAGTTTTCCAAAAGCCGATCACAAAGATGGTGGCAGTATAAATTTAGCTAAAAGGACAGTGTAGAAGAAGTTTTCAGCATTTTTAATATTAAAATTAATACTAATAATAATATAAATATTTGTGAGCATGATTATAGTCTGCAGTGAAAAATGCAATTTTAAATATTGAAGATTTTTTTAAATATAATTTTTGCAGCCTATATGCTTGTATTGCCAAGATTAAGCATTATAATTGCTGAACATGCACTCTCCACTATTTTGCATTTAGATCTATACCATTCAATGTGCTAGAAATAATAAATGCTCGTAACTTGAAATTTTATCATTAAAAATGAAATGACTTACTAACTTTGGGCATTGATGTGACCTCTCCCTAGCCTCCTTTACCAACAAGCTCTTCTGTTATGGTAATCTCTTTTATTTTCAAAACCCAAGAAGATTTGGCCTGTTGTATATAACGGCTTATGAAGCTCTTGCTCTCTTTCTTGACATACATTCTTCTTTTTTCTCAATTCCTCATCTTTCTCTTGTATTGAAATGTGTCAGCTCCTGAAATATTTCCAATAAAAATCCCATTTTTAATAAAAATCAGAATAAAATGATCTCCTCATTTTATCATTTCTCTCTCTCAAGGTTCTGTGGTCCTATTGATGGCTTTTGCATTATTAAAGACACCAGGACCGGCATCAACAAAGGGTTTGCTTATGTTTAATTCAAAGACAGCAGCTCTCTCTCTTATTTGCTTGCAAGAAAAATGAAACAATTGAACTAGAAGGACGAAAATTAAGAGTCATTTGCTGCAGCATGTCACAGTGAGAAGTCAAAGTTTCAGACTAGCCAAGTCCCAAGTTGGTCGTAATAAAAAGTTGCTCAAGTTACTTCAACCTTCAAAAAGAAAGGGAAAGAATGATAAAGAAAAGACAAAAATGAGAAGAAAAAAGAAATCGATTAAAAGGAACGAGAAAGCAAGAAGGATAAATAAATAAATGCAATGTAAATTATAGTCTCGTTGCCCAGGGGCACGAGACTATGTAACTTAATAAATGATTAACAAATAAATGATTGTAAATATTATTATAATGCTTTAGTAAAATCAAGCCTGTCTATTCCGGACACCTTGGGACCAAAATTCTGTCCTAATTATGAGCCTGTCCTTATTCCAGGGGTTCATTAATACACATTTATTTATTGGGACTGATACTACCTGTGATAATTATAGAGGTGTCACATAGCAGGTTTGACTGTATTACTAATAAAACTACATTACCAAAGCGGACCAATTATCAGATTTCCTGCGGCTAGAGTAGACTCACCACATTTAAGACTAATACACAATAAAAGCCATACTTGACCCAAGCAGTGGTTACTACAACTATCAACACTTGTCCATTAACTCATTTATAAATATTATAATTTACTGTATAAGCAAAATATTGGTCCAGACAGCAGCTATGTCTCTCCTGTTAGTAGTTGTTTTCTTATTCTTCAGTAGCTCCTGCAGTGTCTCCTCTAATCAGTATTATGTGTCTGATGACTGCAGTTCAATTATTCAGTCACCTTGTAATCCTTTATCAGTGTACGTTCTTGCTGGGTATATGTCTATATACCATAACACCATCTACTACTTCATTGGAACTACTACCATCATTGATCATGTTACCATGAATGTAGTAAAGAATGTTACTCTACATGGACTGGATCAGTCTCCTAGTATCCACTGCAACAAAGAAGCTAATAGCATTTCATTACATTACAGTGATCATGTCACTATTTCTAACTTATCATTTAGTTGTTCACTAGAGTTTGATTCATCCAATGATATTACAATAACTAATTCTACCTTTGCCTCATCAGGGTATGGTAAATTGATTTTATCGGATACTTTTGATGTTAAGATATCATCAGTTATCTTTACTGAGTATAATCTGTATATTGGGTATATTCCTCTTCCAAGTTGTAGGAGTGAATTACTCCATTACTCATTGATACTGACTAATGTTACCTTTACTACTGGTGCTGCATTGTTCCTAGAAATGAATCATGGTTCCACATACAATGTATCAATCATCTTCAATCAGGTTGAATACTGCTACACTAACAATCTCAAATTTTTTTTGGGAGGTCTTTTTTATTTTCTTATTGCCAACTCATCATTTCAAGATAATAATGATATTTCTGGTTTTCCTATTGAATTTAATTTATATTCAAAATCAAGTGACTGCACATATCCTGGTACTCAGTTAACTTCTACACTTGTGATTAAAGAGAGTCAAGTTACTAATAATTCACAAGGATTGAAGATCGTTAGTAAACAGTATTTACTTAGAGCAGTAAACTATCACATTATTATTAAATCATGTTTAATACATGACAATATAAATGAAGGATTATTCATTGATGGAACATTTATGAAGCTAACCCAAATTGATATAATAGATACTGCACTTATTGGAAATGGAGGAAATAAGATAATGAACAATAATGCTACTAGTCTCAGTAATGTTACTGTTGCTAACAGTACCTCAACAGGATTGAGTCTTACATCATCATTAGTAACAATTAAAGATAATTTCATATTTATAAACAATACTGGAGTAGTTGGAGGAGGATTAGCAATAAATGACTCATCAAGATTGATGGTATCATCATCAGCTAACTTTGAGTTTATTGATAATCATGCTTCTTATAAGGGTGGAGGGATCTATGCTGAAGAGTCAACACACAGTGACATAAAATTAATGACACCAAATATACCTCTTACATTAATAAATAATACTGCTGGGCTTGCTGGTGATGATATGTATGGCATATTTGATATGGCAGACAATAATCAATTCCAATTGACAAACCCAAACATTAGTTCAACAGGTAATCCAATATTTATGTGTTTTTGTGATCCTCATGCTACAACTACTTATGAAAACTGTATAAATGCAAGCAATCAATGCATTTATCCAGGTCAAGCATTGAAGTTTAATGTGGCACTGCTTAGTCACAATTACTTTGGAAAAAATACTCCAACAGATAGTACAGTACAAGTATATGATAATGACACCAATTTCTTGCTCAATCAAACACATATTCCCAATACTTGTTCATTGATTGAATACACACCAAAGCTGACTCAAACAGGTTGCTTAGTAAGTACTTCTCCTTTACTGACAACGACCCATCGATATGCTATTCTTTATTTCACTGTTAAAAAGTGTCCCATTGGTTTCAGGTTAGATAAGTCACAAGTTTCCTGTACTTGCAGTCAAAGTGTTTCAAGAGAGAATGTAACATGTGATATAAATAGTCTAAACATTACACACAATGGTCTACTGTGGATTGGAGCATATGATACCAGTACACTTTTCAATGCTAATGCAACCAATCCTAAGGCATGCATTATCAATGAGGACTGTCTCCTCTATTGTTCTCCTAATCCTGTTACTTTCAAGTTGAATGACACTCATACTCAATGTGTGGATAATAGAGGACACAGAATGTGTGGATCATGTACAGAGGGATACAGTCTACTAATGGGATCAAACAAGTGTGAACAATGTCATAATAATTACACGATGATAGCTTGGATTGCTCTGTTTGCAGTGATGGGTATATTACTTGTGGTTCTACTGATTGCTCTCAATTTAACAGTATCAGTCGGTACACTCAATGGTCTATTGTTCTATGCTAACATTGTCAAGTTATACGAGCCAGTCTTTTCAAGGAAAGGAGCATTACCAGTCTTGAGTCAAGTCATATCATGGATTAACTTAGACTTTGGGTTTGAGATATGTTTTTACAATGGCATGGACAGTTATGTTAAACAATGGCTCCAGTTTGCTTTCCCTCTCTACCTGTGGATCATTATCATTATCATTATACAATTGTGTAGGAGATATGGTAAGATATCAAGACTGATGGGGTCTCATGCTGTTCCTGTTCTATCTACACTCTTTCTTCTCTCGTATACTAAACTAGTACGTACTATTGTTATTGTACTACACAAGCGTGAGGTAACTCTTCACTGTAAAAATGAGTCAGTAAGATCAGTTAGTTTATGGTATGAGGATCCTAATGTTGAATATGCTAAAGGGAAGCATGCTGGACTATTTGGATTTGCCCTATTGGTGTCTGTTTTTTTTGTCATACCATACACACTGTTCCTTCTACTTAATCGTTTTTATGAAAAGTATCTTTCAAATTTCAAAGTTTTCAAAAAATTTTGGAGTCGTTTCAAGCCTATTATTGATGCTTATAGTGGCCCAATGAAAGATGAGTATCGGTTCTGGCCTGGTCTACTGCTAGTGGCTAGGATACCAGTACTATTATCAGTTACTTTAGTTGACAGTTTCATTCAGTCACAGCACTTCCTATTGTCAATGCTATTGACAGTGTTAGTTACTGTGCTATCATTGGGTTATTGTTTTGGTGGAGTTTACAAGAAAAGAATGAACAATGTACTTGAAGTTTGGTTCTTGTTTAACTTATGTATCATGATTATTCTGTTTGTAGCTCTTAATGAAAATGGTAAAGTATTGTTATACAATACTTGTTTATCTGTTTTTATTTTTAGTTTTATTTTGATTGTTGTTTATCATTTTTACCTGCAGTTATCAGATATGAAATGTTATGATGCTCTAATTAAGAAGTTCTTCAAGAAACAAGATAAAGATGATGAACCTCTTTTAGATGTCACTGAATCACATCTAACTGTTGATCAACAAAAGAGAGCTATGGTACCAAGTTCTACTGATGTTAGACGCTGTGCTAGTCGTGAATCAGTTGTTGATTTGTTTTAGTAACTTTTGCTGCTAGTTTTAATTAATCATTATATTGTTAGTTATTAGTTTCAGAAACTAATAATTGTCATTTTAGAAAGTTAACCTCATGCATATGTGAATTCCATTTCTTGTTTCTTTTAAAACAATTTTTCCTTTTTAAATAAAGTTTCCAATTTACAATAAAACTATCAACTACCGTATAGGGGGTATATTTCACATGGATTTAATTTCGCTAGTTTCACGATTTTAAAAAAATTGTCAAAATTTTTATCTATAAAAATTAATTTTATCATACTAATAATAATGGTCAATAGAAGAGAAACGCAAAATTTTTTTGTGATTAGGTTAAAAGGTAATTTTTGTCAAGTATTTTCACCTGGGAAATATACCCCCTATATGGTACATTAGAAGTACAAGAAGGATCAAATAATATCCTACCCTCCTCATGGTTCCCTGCTATCTCTAGTATAAATATGCAGTTAGCAATACTCACTAACAGTCAAACCAACTTATCTTTGCTAATGCTGTTTAAAATACAAGTACAATACATTGCTAGTGTATATGTACCAAATACATGTATGTACATGTACTGAGACATGGTGTGGTCCGTGGTCAAATGGCCCATACCATATATGGACATAAACCATGTATTTTTGATATGTAGAAAGCCTTTTGTTTTTTGTGTTTAAAAAGTTAAAATAATAAATATATAGAAATAATAATAATAATATTCATATTATTATTTCGTTTTTTTAAATTATTATTTCTTTTTGTTATTATTAGTGTATTATTTAATGTCTTTTGTTAGAATAATGAAAATTTTAAAATTTTTATTACAATAGAAATGCACTTTGAATGTCAGCTTGTATAGCCTTGCATTGTCAGTGTATAAAATGCATAAATTGGTTAACTATTAAATTTCCCTTTTAAGCTCTCTAATGACATCAGACATATTTGGGCGACTCTCATACTCATTATTAAGACAAGTCACTAGTAGCTGTCTAATGGTGACATGGTCCTTTACTGCAGTGCTGAGCTGAGTCTGTCTCTCCTTTGGCTCTGGTAACTGACAAGTGAGCATTTCAATCAAGAGGACAGCAAAGCTATAGACATCCATAGCAGGAGAATGATTATGTGGGTTTGTCGCCTCGGGTGCTGAATAGATTGGAGAACCAGGGTTAACAGTGAATCCAATGAGATGTTGGAGATTAGCCGAGCCATAGTCTGACAATTTAGCTCTCCATCCATTACCTACTGGCTGAAGGAGCACATTAGGACTGCTGACATCTCTGTGCAGTATAGGATGAGGCTTGAAGAGGTGAAGGTAATTGAGAGCACAGGCTACATCAAGACTGATGCTTAGTACAACATGATAAGGCATTGTGCTTGATGTTTCTAATTCCTTCCTTAAGCTGGTGTGCATTAGCTCTGTCAGGATGATTGGGTTACCCTCTTTAGTGGCTCCTATAAACTGAAGGAGATTGGGATGACGTACCTTGGAAGCAATATTCATTTCACGCGAGAATGTACTGATATTATAATGAGAAATGATGACATCATGAAGACGCTTTGCAGCAACTCTCAAGCCACAATAAATGCCCACTTTGACCTCTCCCCAACTTCCTTTACCAACAAGCCCTTCTGTTATGGTAATTTCTTCTTTATCCAAAACCCAAGAAGATTCGGCCTGTTGTAACTGCTTAAGAAGCTCTTGTTCTCTTTCTTGAGATTCATTCTTCACTTTTCTCAATTCCTCATCTTTCTCTTGTATTACCCTCTCAAATTCTTTCTCTTTTTCTTGAAGTTGTTCTAAAAACTTTTGTTCTAAGACTAAAAGTTCATCTGTATTCTGTTCCTGGTGTCCTTGATGATTCTGCTCCTTGTTTTGCTGATCCCTTTTACTTTGCTCCCTCACTTCTTCATGATCTAACGGCTGTAACCTTTCCTCTATAATTCCTTGCTCTGTCTGGCTCTGCTCTATTATTTTGTCCCTTTGGCGATGAATGACTTGAGACTCCTCCCATTCTTGTTTTCTCTCTCTTAGTTTATCTTGATACTGATCTGGAGGTATTACGTCAACAGACCAATCGTTCTCGGCATTATACCCTATATAATATACACTATTATTATTATTGTTATTAATCTATATCAAAACAGTATGGTTTAGAAATGATCAACAAGCCTTCCTTTTTAGGACAAAAATAAGAATGCAGCTATTTTAAAGCAAAACATAAAAACTCGCTGCTAAAATTTAATTGTTAAATTGATCTTTTGAACTTGTGCATTACTGAACGAGTCCAAAAAATAACTCACTGAATTCAATGATTGTTGTATCTCCAATCATTTTTCTCCCTTTATATCCTCCAAACTGCACAATCCAAGTAGTAGCAGGAGTCACGCTCCAAGCTGATAAGGAATGATTATTTCTTTTAGTAACAACATCTGGTAAAGTAACCTGTGGCATTTTTCAAATGCACATTAATGTTATCATAGAATTAAGAGGGAATTAAAAAATATATTATGTATACATACCACTTCTTTCCAGGTCTTATTGATAATGTCAAGTACCCAGCAGTCATTAACACCAATCACTAACAGGTGCTGTCCTGACGAACCATGATTTATGATAACACTCGAATGAGCACTTCTTCCTGAAGGCCATTTTACTGATCCACCAGGATTAGATATCTTTACGAACTTCTAAAAATTTATCAAAAAAATTATATAATGTTCTAGTGTATACTTACCACTTTTCTGGTGAAGGTCACAATATAAACACAGCTATTGTGTCCAAAAGAAGTAGCCCCTCCAAACAGCAGAGCAGTATTTTTGCTAAGCGATTCTATGGTGAAGCCACTGATAGGAGGTGGTCTGTTTCCAGTAACAACAGGAGACTCCCATTCACCTAATAGTTATTAATAGTACTCATAATATTTAGACTATGAAATTCAAAAAAACAACAAATTTTAAATTACTCATTATTGGGCCCCAATAATCAATCTTAATACTATCAAGAGTAAATAATACCTATTATTTACTCTTGATACTATATTGGTGAGGAAATGGCCTCAGAAATCACTGCTACCAGTACCGCTAAAATATTCATATAATTTACATACTGACCTGACAATAATTTATAGTAATGGACCTCATTGCAGCGTTGAAGTGCACCAAAACCTTGGCTATATTGAGCTTTAGCCTGTTCAGGTGAAGATGATCCTCTCCCTCCAATTACTGCAATGTAGTCCTTACCACCAACCTGTACTGCAACAATGCCAGAGTACCCCTTTACCATTGGGTGACCATGACTAGGAGAAGTAGGAGAGAGTTCTCTCCAGCTAAAGGCATCAGCGTCAGTGTTGAAGCTAAAGAGACTATTTTGAAAAGTGCTGGATGAGTTACAATAGCCTCCAAAAAAGAATATTTCCCTGTCGATTGCAGTGCATGCGTAACCATAGATCCCTTTAGGGGGTGTGTTTGAGGTCGGTCTCAGTTCCCACATCCCGGGATGGCAAGTGAAACACCTCCATGATCGATGACACATCTTCATTGCGTTTTTTGGAGAGATGAGGCTGGTATCCACCCCACATGTATACGTATTCACCTATTTGAACTGTAGAGTGATAGCCTCTTTCTACAGGCTTGTGGTCTATAAAAGGGAGACGGCATAGAGCTAACGTTAAAAGTGCCGAATAGGAGTGCTTTTACCTTCAACGCGACCTTCAAGCTTCAAGAGAAAGTCTATGGAATCACTAGATCGAGATAGTGAGCCGGAAAACATTGCCGAGAGCATGATTGTATCATAGATACTACATATGATTGTATCTCGAGATTGATTTCGCCTCTTTTAAAGCTAGATCTAGAGGGCGGTGACATGGTGACATCATCTATAACAATAGACCTGCAAAATTCTTGTGGAATATAACATTGCCAGTTTGCTAAAAATTTTATTGAATTAAGAAGTCACAAATTAATTATTGTTGTAATATTCTACTAGTCTTTTAGCTATCATATCAGTTCTAATGGTATCCTCTTCTGTGATTATTTGAATGAACAAAAGAAATGTGTTACCATCTGAATCTAATCTAATGGTTGTTCTAACAAAACTAAGTAACTTGTCCATTCTTCGGTCAGTGGTTAATCCTGTCCTATCATCTAGAACTTCCCTTTGTTCTCTTTCATTTATGATTCTCTTCTCCAGTAGTTTATTTGCTAATGTACCTAAATCAAGTGCATCTCTTATGATACCAGTAGAGTTTGTTATTGCTTCACAAGCCTTTTCTCGTCTACCTAAAGTAGTATAAGAGTAAGCAGGTGTTAGTTTGTTAAATCAGCTAACTTTCTGGAATAGATCTCACAGAATCAAAGTTAATTGAACTTGAGCCAGTACTGATTGCTACAAAAATTATACAATAAATTCGTATTCATAGTAGCTGCTTGTAACATACTTATACGAGTAGAAGGTAGCCTATTGATAAAAATAGTAGTGGAAGGGTTGATCCCTGTTAAATCAATGGGGCAATGAAGTGGCATATTGGCAACACCAGGTACAGCATAAACTGATAATCGAAGAGTTGATACCATTGGTGATGACTGAATGTTGTCCATTACAGATTGATGCAACTTTATATAAAAAAGATAATACTTATTACATTGTATTAGTAGCATATACTTCCATTGGCTCTTGATGAGGCTGAACAGACCATCCTGCTTCATTAAGTGTTCCCAAAGTTAGTTTTATAATACCGTTTGGACCTTGATTAAACTTAAACGTATTGACAACGTCTCTTTCAGCATTACTGTGTTCATTCTCTATATGCTACATTAAAGTTAACATAATAATGATTTAATATCAACAATTATGTAACCTGTAGCACAGCATCTAAATCCTTAACAGCAGTGTACATAGTTATCCACCGATAGCCAGTGTCTCTTCTTTCATGGTACATCATTCCAGTGTACCATATGTCACTTCGATTAACTAAAGAGTGATCATCAATATTTATTAATAATGATGAAAATTCTTACCATAATTATTGCTCTCAATTTGAACTAAACCTGACAATGAAAACAATTTTAACAATATACTGTTATTATATTGATATACATACTTTCAGTTTGAGAAGCAGAAGTAGGTTGATCACCGATTAAACGTGTTTCTGCTATAGCCTCTGCATGACCAACCATTGCTTCATTTGATGCAGTTTCTGTGACCATTTCTTCAATGAAATCTATAGTTATTATACCAGTAACACAAACTTCACTATTACATGTACATGTAGGTTATTATAGAGTACCGGTATATACATGGCTTCTATACATACTACAGTAATACCTTCGTCAAAATAATGATTCATGTTTTTTATACCTTGATTTGATGTTCCATGATCATCATTTTCTTCACTCTCACCATTCCCACTAGGTGATGCCGATTCCTCATTACTCATCTCAGCAACAATGGCAACAAGACTGAACTGGTCACGTTTGATAGATCCATATCTTCTGCCCACATTAAAAGATCCTCCATCAATTGGACTGAATTCATAAGGAGACTTCAGTGGAGCTCGGACAAACTTGAGACAATCAGCTTGAGCATTTGTTCTCAGATCCACACAATGCTGCAGCTCTATTACCAGTGGCTTTAAAAGTGGCTTAGATACTGATATTGCATACACTGCACTGACTAGCACAGTACCTTTAGGCAAAATGAAATTACCACCGACTAATGCAGTAATAGCCATTTTGGTGCCTTTGGAGACAGCACCTTGTGGGCATTGAAATCTAAATCCATACTTCTTCCATCTGAATGAACTAGTTTCATCCAATGGAAGGAATAAATTCTTTTCGGCTATAACAACATCCCCATCTAATAAATCTATAGAATATGTACATTAGTATGCATAATAACATTAATAAGGTGCACTGTATGCTAACCTAACTGAGGCCTCAGGTATTCAAATTGAGCTGATTCCTTCTCATCCTTTACCAGATGCAAAGCCTCCTGAAAACTTTCCTCAGTCATTCTAAGCTGCTTTTCTCTCTCTTGCAGATCTTTCCTTAACCTGATTGTGGTTTGCTCTCTCCTTCTTATCTCTTCTTCCAGTTCTCTCTCAAGTGACTGCTTCTTAACATGTAGTGAAGTTTCCTCGCTTTGTCTCTCTGACCATTTCCGTTTTCTTTTCTCTCTCAGATCAAGATCTGGTTGCATTGGATTTGCTTCAAAAAACCATTCGTGATTAATGCGTCCTATATGTAAATCAAAATTATTAATATTCTTAAATAATACATAGTCTAGCAGCACCTCAAAATACATTCAAACAATGTTCAGACATTTAAATGTCCGACTTTTATTTGAGGTTCTGTTCTATAGTATTTTATTGCAGTACTTATTTTAACTTACTAAGTTGAGAAACTGCAGTATTACTCGATTGACCTCCTCCACCAAATTCAATTATCTGATATGTGTCTGGGCTTAGCTCCCACACTGAGAGAGAATGATAAAATCTATCTGTAACAGCTCCTGGTAGATTAAACTAGAAATAAAAAAATTTAAATTTAGTTCAAGATGATTTTAAAAATTCACTTACAAATCGTTTTGCTGTCCCATTGCTAATATCAAGTAACCAACAATCTTCCGAGTTCATTCCACCTACCACAAGTAGATATGATCCTGATTTATAATTCTCTTTTGGCAAGGCTAAATGCTCAGGAAAATCAATGGTATTGATGAGTACCCCAGAATGAGCATATCTTTTTTGAGGCCACTGTGATGGTTTCTTGGGGATTATTTCTGAGATATCCTGTAAATAATAAAAATGAAAAAATAAACCCCATGCCTTCTTTATAATTTATATTAACTCACCAATGATTTTTTGGAAAATTTGATAAAATACAGTCTGTTGCTCCATTCTGTTACATTTAGACCTCCAAATAATATAGCACTGTCTGTAGAAAGTGATGCTAGAGTGAAGTGACTAATTGGAGGTGGTCTGTCACCTTTAACTAATGGTGACATCCATTCGCCTGCACAATTAAAACAAAATAAGCTATATTAGTTATCTAATAGCTTTTGTACTACAGTGTGTGGGTGTATCAAAGGCACCGCCAGGAGTTTATATAGTGTAGACCACAGCAGGGGTAGTTAGAAGCCATCATCTAACTGCCAATTCTGGTAGTTAGACGACAGTGCCTTTCATACACCCACACACTGTAGTACAAACCAGATAAACTACAGCTGTTTCGTGTTACTGGATATACACTCGGATGTTAGTTGATTTAGAAGCCTCAGCTTCGCCTCGGCTTCTAAATCAACTAACATCCTCTTGTATATCCAGTAAGCCTCAACATCTGTAGTTTATCTATAACTTGTAGTGAGAAAACTTAGATTAGATAGCTAACCTGATGAGAGTTTATAGTAATGAATTTCGTTGCAGTGGTGTAGATCAGGCACTTGGTCTAATCCACGATACTCTGCTTCAGGCTGTTTTGGAGTATTGTTATAGGACAGTCCCCAGCCTCCAATAACAACAAGGTAGTCCTCGCCATACATTCGCATTGCTACCATGCTAGCATCTCTCTTCATCATAGGACCATGATGAGACGTAGTCGGAGAGAGTTCTTTCCATCTGAAAGTTTTCACATTGAAACTATGCAAGCTGTTGTGATAGCAGCCCTGATGATTACAGTCACCTCCGAAATAAAATATCTCATTCCCAATCGCAGCGGATGCATAACCGTGGATGCCCAATGGAGGATTTCCAGTCGTTGGTTTCTGCTCCCACATACCAGTAGGTAAGTGGTACACCTCAACAACGGAGGACTTCATTCTTTTCTCGTTGCTATTGTGAACTTCAGGGAAATCAGTTCGGAACCCTCCCCACATGTAGAGGCTGTCTCCTACTCTAACAGTGGAATGATTCCTTCTTTCTCCTGGCTCATAACCTAATAAAGAACAGCTTGTATAGTAAAAAAAGAGAATAGACCTCACTTTTCTTCGAGCTTTTGGTCGACATAATTTCAGAATGGAATGCACACCAGCCCTGCCCACACAGGCTCCACCTATTGAGTGATGCAAACAAGATAGAGGCTCATAGATCTAGTCATGGATAGATTTGCAATGTAAGAGCTTGATTATTTTAATTATTATTACAAATGTAATGATATTTAAGATCAAATAGATGTTGTATAATTTTGGGAGGAGGTGCAAGTGACTTAAATAAATTTTGGCAAGGGCAAATTTATTACATTTCAGTGATTTCCTCGGTGATTTCACACTTAGAAGTAGAACTAGTCTACATGTTTATGTTACGCATTTAGTTCAAGTTGATTCGGGTTTTTTAATATTTATATATTTAACTGCTTGAAACAGCATGTAATAGAGTATACTGTAAATAATAGTGATTTTGAATTGTTCTGATCCTAGTGCAATTTATGTTGGTCAATTATTGTTATGGACAATCAAAACAGATGATTAGACTAGATTATGTAGCCATATCTTTTATTGTATTTTTACAGAATAAAGAGAAATGTCATCTGATACGTCACATTAATTAGAGCTGCTTGTGTCAACTTATATTGTTGCTGCCTGTCAGTACTCAGTACTGGAATTAGCATGAAGTGAGTCTAACTAGAAACAATACAAATCAGGCAAAATTGTTTTATTAAAGTTAATCTAAGCTGCATATAATGTACCCAAAAGTTGATGCAACTAACAAAATTTTTAGGTGTAATTATTATTTTTATAAAGTATTAGATATTACACTTTCAATCTTAATTCTTGACAACAAACAGTTTATTCATGATAAATGTCACTGAGCCTTAAGACAGCATTTATAGTGGTTGTAATGGGAAAAATTCATTAAGTGTTGTAGTCACATATTGTTATTAAATATGCTGGTTTGCTGGAATGTCATTATACTTGATAGTGATAATAGCTCTTTTAAATTGTAATTAATATTAATGCTATAGATCTAGGCTGTGTGTACTGTCCACTGTGCCTTATTGTGATCATGAATTAATAGGCTATTGTAGCCTTTTACAACCAACACTATTTTGTGCCAGCAGGCACTGTAGTATTCACAACTCGACACTTCATTTACAAAGACTTTTGGATACAAAAGTATGACACAGGTCATAGGGTCAGAAAACTTCTTTAAGTGTTGTAGTGTATTGTTATTAAATATGCTAGTTTGCTGGATTGTCATTATACTTGATAGTATTAATAGCTCTTTTAAATTGTAATTAGTGTTTTGATTCTTTTATACAATGGCACAATTGCTAATGGTGTAAGAAATAAAATACTTAATAAAGTTATAAGTTACAATGAACTTACAGTTTTATACAAGAGAAAGGGGAAGAGAGTTTATAGGAGAGAATTCCAGAGTTTTATTGCAGAAGGGAAGAAAGAGTGGTAGAGAGAGGAAGATTTACAAAAAATAAGTGAGAATTTGTTTGATAATATTAATGCTATAGATCTAGACTATGTGTATACTGTCACTGTGCCTTATTGTGATCACATGATGAATTAATAGGCTATTGTAGCCTGTTACAACCAACACTATTTTGTGCCAGCAGACACTGTAGTATTCACAACTCGACACTTCATTTACAAAGACTTTTGGATATAAGAATATAACACAGTTTATATTGTCAGTCCGTATTATTGGTCTGTCTTATTTATAACACAATGGCTACTGCTATCGTGGTTGCTGTTGGGCTCCTTTTGTCTCTCCTGTATCTCAATGGAGTTGCTACTGCAGAGGATTGTTCCTGTCAGGAGAAAGTCAATAAAGCTCTCATTCAATCACTCAAAGGATGTACTGATGCTTTTACTGCTATGGAAGAATGTAACAAGGAGCCCGGCACTGTTTTCAATCAAGCCAAAAAAGTCAAGATGGAAGCTCAAGCTGTAGGTGCTGCTAGTTCTTGTGAATGTGCTAAAAAGGTAACTGACGCTCTTACAAAGTCTTTGGAAAGTTGTGTAGAGGCATTAAGCAGCTGTGGTGGGCTAATCCATCTGCATCTCCATCATTTACTGCAGTGCCCCCTACCACTTCTTCTGTTGCGAGTCCATCATTTATAATTGTTCCTACCTCTTCTTCTACTCCAAGTCCATCGCCTTCTCCTCCAGCCAAGCCTACATCTTGCAAGGAAATACTTGAAAATAATCCAACAAGTAAGGATGGTGAATACGCATTGTATGACCCATTACCAAGGAAGAGTACTTTGTCAAGTGCAGGGGCGTATCTAAGGGTGGGCCTGGGTGGGCCTGTGGCCCGACCAACTCAGCAGACCAAAAAATTTTTTTCTTTTGTATATTAGTCCTTTTAAAAATATTGCTCACTTTATTATGATAGCAATGAGACAAGACTAGCATAGCTAATAGTTTTAGCCAGTGTAAATATAATGATGACATGGTAGAGACTTCCATAGCTCCATTTGGGCAATTGGGCTGCCATTTTTTAAATAATAACTACTACTAACCAATCAGTTATTAGACTATTCACATTAATTATTAAAGTAATCGAGTTGAAAATGGCTAAGAAACTCTGCTGAGTCTGTTTGAATGTCTTCCCAAGGCCAGTACTACTACTAATGAAGAAAATATAAGCACTGAAGTGCACATCTTAGCTTAATTAAAGTAATAATCGCAGTATTTAATTGACCACGCCCATCATGAATATTAATTAGCTCTAACAATTTTCGCGGCGCGCTTCGCGCGCCGCATATTTTTTCTCCGTGCCCAGCCAACTCTCAGAGCTTAGATACGCCCCTGGTCAAGTGTATTATGGATAGTGCTCCACAATGTGGCAATATTGCTGGATTTACATAAATTTATTTCAGAAATGGCACATGTCCTACAGGATTTTATTGGGCAAACTTGAAGGGACGAAAAGTTTGTTTAAAGGCAAGCAAATTCTCTGGAGGTTGTGTCTCATTTAAAGGGAGGCTTGCACGCGAAAATGAAATTTGAGATTATTGCTTATTTTTAATTTACACTACCCAAATAGACTATTCCTAGTTGCATTCTTGCATTGGACTTGCTTTGGGAAAGTTAGAGCTTGCTAAAGTTGCTGGTAGCCATTGCTTCCGTTAGGGGGCGCGGTCATTGATGACA